TTTTTAATAAACTTCTTCAAACGCACCAGTTCTGTTTGTTACATATATATATATATATATATATATATATATATATATATATATATATATATATATATATATATATATATATATATATATATATATATATATATATATGTAGTTAGATATCGCTCTATCGGGCCTTTAATAGGTCATATTGAGCGCTCTACAGGATGAGCCATGCCGCTTACGCATTGCGCACGCTCACTGCTTGCAGTCGGAGCGCTCTGGCATGGTTTTGATGTCCCACATTCGTGAGGCATATATGTATGTAAAACTTTTTTCAATACGCTAACTTCGACAATTATTTACAACTGGTTTCCACGAAGGGCGTATACACACAAAGAGCTAAATGTTAATTATATATAGAACAAAATATGTAAGAATCCCACCCTGAAATTTTATCACCTTCCTCCCAAATCTCCACCCCCTAAACAAGTACTGTAAATAGTAGTTACTTTCATGAGTTTCATCCTGCTCATCAGCACTACACTGACTGATGAGGCAACTACACTGATGATCGAGGCCCATAAGGCCGAAACGGTACCGTCTGTAGTTAGATATCGCTCTATATTGGCCTTTTGTAGGTCATATTGAGCGCTCTACAGGATGAGCCATTGCCGCTTACGCATTGCGCACGATACGGTACTGTCGAAACGGTACTGTCATATATATATATATATATATATATATATATATATATATATATATATATATATATATATATATATATATATATATATATATATATATTAGTTAGTATTATTATGGGCTGGAAAGGGACCCTGTCTTGTGAGAGCAATTCTGACTTACTGAAGTAAACAATGGTAAATCTTCACCAAATAAACTGATTAACTTATCATAGTAATAGAAGACAACAAAACGCATATGATTAATTCATGTATTTGGGTTTCTTAAAGCTTATTTTATTTTAAAATTACTATGCTGTAGTAATTAATATGCTCTTAATTTACAAGCAATTTATTAACCTGTGCTTTTTTAAATATCTTACTAGTAAATAAGTATTGAAAAGAGCTGTGTAGGGATCGGATACTTCATATCATTAATAATAACGATAATAAATATCACAAAGGAAATATTTAAAGAGAACTTAACTAAATATCTTAATCGTAAATAAGTATGAAAAGCGCTATATAAATATCACAAAGAAATGAGTATTTGTCCTCGTATTTTTGTCATTTGTCTATATTTTCTACTTCTGGCTTCTTTGGGCAAACAGCTTTGCTGGCCTTCTCGACAAAGTCAAAGAAATCCAGATTTTCAAAGTTGACTGTGATCGCATATTCAGGTGAAGAAGCCATCTTAATCAATATTGGTTGGAATAATCGCACTGATTCCTCCTTGCCAGCCGCAATTGTGATAATGCGAACACTTTTTTTCTTCAAGATTTCAGCCTGTTCGCGGGCAGTACTCAGATCATGTGCATCGCCATCCGTAAAGAGAATCAAGGTATCATTGACGTCTGGACGGTCGCCATTTGTTCCAGTGAAGACCTGGGATAGAGAAAGATCCATAAACCAGATTAATAATTAAAAGTGCAGGGGATGGAAATTAAAGAAAAAGTGAAATTTAAATTTAAATTTAAATGCCCTCTGGTTATGGTATCAAAGGCCCAATAGACAACTTGCATGTTAGACTAATTTTTTATGTGGGCAAAAAAAGTAAATTCCCGTAAAGAACTTATTAAAATTAGTAAAAATTGCAAAATTTTGTTACCAAATGTCGTAAAATACGGAAAAAGTATAAGCTATCACTCCGCATAATCAGCAATATGATACCTTACTTCCCATCCCTCCCCCTGCATGCATAAACTAAAAGCTGGAATTGCTTATTGAAATAACTTCTTAAACTGCAGAATAAATAATTTTACGTATTTTATCTATTTTCATTGATATTTCAGATTATTTGATATGTAAATAAGATAGCGTGAAGCTGGGTAAACCTTTCTTAAAACTTCATGTTTTCGTATGCAAGATTAGCGAATGAAATTATTGATACCAAGCCTCAGAAGTTTTGGGGTGGGGGGCATTTGAGGAGGCAAACTCATATTGGGGGGGGGGGCGCAAGATAGAATTTTTAAAAAGGTAATGCTATTTGCTCATGCCGTTGTCACATGACTTTCGCCCCCCCCCCCAGGAGATTCGCCCCCCCCCTCTCAAAAGGGGGCGATATTCCTAGGAATAGAAGTTTTACCATTCAGAGATTTACAAATTAATATTGAAACTGTAAAAACGAGTTTCATGTATACGCGCATTCACTAATGAGTAATGACAACTTATAAGCCAGACATTTTCTGATAACGACAAAACACTTATGTAGCCTTTAGTCGCTCTCAGTGACTA